GCACGGCAGCTTCCAGGAGGCCGTGGTGGAGCTGAAGCGGGACGTGGCGGAGGCGCTGGCCGCCGTGCGCCGCCGCGACGGAGCGCGCCTGGCCTCCGCGCTCCGGTCGCAGCGCAAGGCCGGCAAGGACCTCGCCCGCCTCGCGGCCTCCGCTGCCAGGGACGGCGCGGCCGCCGGCGGCTGCGGCAGGCCCTCACGCCTCGGCCTCGGCAGCGCGGCGGAGGTCGAGGTGGCCGCGCTGCTGGCCGAGGCCGCCGCGGCCACGGCCGCCGCGTCGGCCGCGCTGTTCGGCACCGTCGCCGCCATGTCCGCGTCGGCCTCCGCCGCCGCGTGCTCCTGCAAGAGAACCGCGGCCCTCATGTGCCTCACCAAGAAGGTGTCGGAGGAGGAGAAGGAGACGGTGGCGCTCGTGGAGAGGCTGGAGGAGCTGGAGGAGTGCATCGACGGCCTGGAGGCCGGCAGTGACAAGGTGTTCAGGACCCTCGTGCAGACCAGGGTTGCGCTGCTCAACATACACACCCACATCTTCTAGCTCCAGCTCCAGCCTCCAATCTAATTCATCTCTCCAAGCTAGTGAATCATAACAAATGCATGTCATGCTGTTTACTTGTTGATTAGCAGTCAGAAATTAAGATGCATGAGTGTAACTGTAACTCTGTAAATACGTGAGGTTTTTGTGCAGTTACGTTTGTGTATGTTTCCTGCTGCATTGTGAAATCTGGACATGTAAATGAAGACCATGTGCAACTATGAAAACTAAGGAGCAAGACCTAATTTTTCCTTCGGATTTTGCCGAGGTTTAACTGAGTGTGGTTGGTTAGCTTGTATTTTTTAGTTCGTTTTGGAGTTTGTTCAGTGCCCGCGTCTCATCTCTCTGAATGCAAAGCACACGCTCGGTGCTACATTATATGTTCTGCAGCTCCAGACTGTGCTCCTGGATCAATCAAAATTGGGAATGTTACTTACCAGGCCCATATAGAGTTGACTGATTACTTACTTTCAAGGATACTGGCCCATATACAGTTCACCGACTAATTTTTACTTTGAAGGCTCAACTACTAGGAGTCCCTTGATTGATTTTGAGTTTCACACGCGGGTGAGGCAAGGGGGCTAACCATGACATGGCTGAATCTCAGCACTCAAATGTCCATCTAATGGCTCAGACTAAACCACTTTAGTAGGTGAACAGTTGGTTACGTCTTATGTGCTCATAAAATCCACGTTAGTGTGTGTGGACTTATCAAAATTTAGAATTCATCTTTTGATTCAAGACATAGAAGACCATGCATTTCCAGCATGTTAGAAGTTCACAACATGATAAAAATAAACAACACACTATATAAAAGGACACTGTATTGGAGTGGAAACCTTTATAGGCTGGGGGGCATATGCCCTTGTAAGTCCATATTAGTGTTGCAAGGGTCTTTACCAACAGATTTAATATGTGTTCTATATATATGTGTCGTGTATGCAAAGTAATTATTGATGGTGGTAGTTTTACAAATGCCATTAGTTCTGATATTGTGCATGCTTTATCTTTATCTACGAGGAGGCTTCCAACACCGTGTTATATGCAATGGATGAACCAAAGTGTCACACTAAAAATTACTCATAAGGCGCGTGCCGGTGCGAAAAGTGACCAACAAGTAAATATTTATAGTTTTGCCGTACGTTGTGATCGGATATGGCCTAGCACTCAATGACACATGATTTTTACTGGTTCAGGCAACGTGCCCTACGTCCAGTTTCAGTCGGTCGGTGACTTTATTCCTGAGCCCAGGTGCTCGAAGTTTGCTGTGGGATTACAAACGAGTAGGAACAAGAAGGGGGTGTTAAAGGCCTGGTCGGACTCTGAACCGAAGAGCCGAGAGTGACGGGGGCTCTAACGTGCAATAAGTATTGGAGCGTATGCACTGTGTAGCATTAGAGTTCTAGAGCTATTGAGCTGTTCGAGTCCTTAGGTCGTCGAGTCCTCGAATCGTCTAGCTTCTCTTTTTGGAGGAGAGCCAGAGCAAGCCAGAGAGCATGTCCCCCAGAGAGGAGAGAGTGCATCCCCTTTTATAGTTGAAGGGAATGACCTTACAAGTCAGAGAAAGAGAGAATGGATACGTGTGATACCTAGTCTTGTTGCCCACACTGTCGGGTACGAGACAGTCGTCGGCGCCCACAATACTGTTTATGTTAGACGTATGTGGCAGGCTCTACCGTATTCGCCTGGTACGGCAAACGTCGGTGCCTACAATACTATTTGTACTCTGACACGCCTGGAAGGTTGCATAGTGCCCGTCTGGCATGGCCTGGTGGCACCGTCCTGAAGGTGCACAGGGCATGGCAGGGTATGGTCCTCGGTATTGTGATTGACTTGAGCGTCTTACCTTATCTGCTCTGCCTGATCCCTAGGCCCTCACCGAGTGGGCGTCCCCGGTCGGTCGTCTCTAGTTGGCCCCGACTGTGTCAGTCGGGGAAGAACCATGAGCAGAGGTCCGACGTATCTCTGGTCGGAAAAGGAGGTCGGAGTCAGACCTCGCCCCCACTTTGGCCAGGGCTTCTGGTTGGGGACCGGATCGTTGTCCCGGCCTGTTATTATGTATATGGGCCGACCCGGGAGGTGAGCGTTGTTGCTACGCCGTCTGCTGGGCCGAGTTTTTGCAAGAAAGCGGGTCCATTCGGGACCCCGGGTTTATGAACCCGACAACGCGAGTTAAATTTTCCATTGGAAATTATGTTGATATAGTGGACTATGATAATGCACCGGTGAGTGCATGCCATTTATTGTTGGGTCAGCCATGGCGGTTTGATCTTGATGCTACTCATGGTGGTTGTTCTAATAATTTTTCGTTTGTGCAGAAGGGAATTTTATTTGTAGTATATTCGAGAAGAACCATAACTTTGTAGTTGATTATTTTTTCCATTTGAAATCGTTTAGGGCTCAAAAATTATGTTTTAAGATTAAAAATTTTAAAATTCATATTTTTTTTCAATTTTCTCAAATGACCTCGGATGGATTAATGATCAAAAGCAAAGCTGTCGCTCTCAATGAGATCTAAAATTTTTTAGTTGAAACTTTTTTTATTTGAATTTATTTAGGGCTCCAAATCTTCATTTCAAAATCTGGTGGAGTAAATAGGGGGGGATTGTTTCTCCTTTAAAGTCACAAGTGACTTTAGGGAGCATTGGTAAGGGGTGTATCGTTTTAGGCCTGAGGTTGTGAGTTTGATTTCTAGGTACTACGACTTGAGCATATTTATCAAATCGCTAGAAATTAGACGTGGCATCCTAGGGTGGGCCTCCCCCTATAAAAAGTTTTTTTTTGGTATTTTTAGGATGATTTGTAATTTTTGAAAATCATTTACACGAGATGTTTAAGAAAACCGCCACTGTAAATTTATGGTAGTGGATCCTTAAGAAAAACGCCAGTGAGATTCGCGATTTTCACTGACCTTTCACACTGGCGGAAGCTAGAAAGCCTGTGAAAATGGGTTTAGAACCACCGGTACTAATGTTCTGTGTAAATAGCCAGATTATTATAAATAGGGACATAGTTGAAGCTAGTAGATCGATAACAGTGTCCATGTTCATCTTCTTAATGAATTACTGGCACTTCTGCATGTAAAGGTCCAATTTGCACTTGACTTACTAAGACTAGTCACAATGTACCGAGGCTTTAAATGTCAAATCATAGCCGATGCTTCAACTTTCATTTATGCCACAGTGTACCGGTGCCTCAAATAACTAAACAAACAATAGTTTATTCTCTCCCCTCATAACTCTTGTCAGATCTTTATATCACTTACATGTGGGACCATATATTCCTTTTCAAAGCAAGCACCGGTGAACCTACTTTCCTCGATGCCAAAGTTTTCGCTCCTTGAGCCCTTATTTAGTCGGAGAAATTTGGACTTTGGGGTTACTGTAGCACATTCGTTTTTATTTGGCAAATAGTGTTTAAACATGGACTAATTAGGCTCAAAACGTTCGTCTCGCAATTTCCCACCAAACTGTGCAATTAGTTTTTCTTTTCGTCTACATTTAATGATCCATGCACGGGCCACAAACATTCGATGTGACAGATACTGTAGCAACTTTTTGAAAGTTAGGGTGGAACTAAACAAGAGCTGAATTTACTCCTGCAGTGTGCAAGCACCGATGCTTGGATGAAAAATGGGTTTCAGGCATCGGTATTTCACCACACTGTGGGTAGTCTAAGACAACGGAGGCCAAAAGAAATACTTGATAATAAAAAATTAAAGATTTCAGTGATGTAATAGAGCAAGTGATATCTCTTTCATGTGTTTGGAATTAATCTCATAAATAGTTGTGACCTTGCCCTTGTAATGGGAGAAATAGAATAAAATTTGCACCTCCTTTTGTGAAAATTATAGCGGCATGTTAACATTGCAGTTCGACGTGGTGTTGCTTTTGCAAAAGAACATTATCAAAAAGTTATGGGAAAATTGGTCGTGTAGCATCCAAGGATCGTGATCTCTGTAAAATACCACTGAAAGTTTGCGCCCCCGTAAAATACCATCGAAAGATTAGACCGTGAACTGAAAGTAGCATTCTATTAAAATGGTGTGACGGAAGTGACGGAACTCGCTGTGAACCAGAAAATTACCATGTTCTCGTGGATGCTCGCCGCAAATGGGAATGTCTCCTGCGGCACCACCGCCACCACGCGCACGTTCTGGTCGTCGAGCGCGAGCCTGGCGGCGAGCTTCCCTGACTCGGCAAGGACGCATGCTGCTGGACACGTGCTTTTGGCCGCCGGAACGTCATGCTGCTAGCGCTGGTGCAGCAGTTCTACGAGCCCACGTGCTGGCGCGTGCTCCTGGACGGCAAGGATGTGCGCAAGCACAACCTGTGGGCGCTGCGGCGCATGGTGGCAGTGGTGTCGCCGGAGCCGTTCCTGTTCGCGGCGAGCATCAACGAGAACATTGCAATCTTTCAGTTCACGGCGAGTTCCGTCACTTATGTCACTTCATTTTAACAGAATGATACTTTCAGTTCACGGTCCAATCTTTCATGTAGCGAGGGTCCGGCGCGTAGTAGACGCTGAGCACGGCGTTGAGGATGTAGGTGAAGATGGCGCTGAAGGAGCCGCAGACCATGGAGCTGAAGGAGCCGACGAGCGCGTAGGCCCACTCGAGCGAGTTCATCCTGGCGAGGCGCAGGCGGCAGTGCGGAAGGCGAGCTACTTGTCGGCCATGGTCCAGTGGTGGTGGTGCGCCTGATCATGAAGCGGTCCAGGTCCAGCGCCTCCTGCACGAGGTTCTCCGACTCAGAGTCAAGCGTGCTGGTGGCCTCGTCCAGTAGCAGGATGGTGGGATTCTTGAGCATGGCGCGGGCGATGGCGATGCACTGCTTCTGGCCGGCGGAACCTGCTGCTGGACGCGTGCTCCTGTTCTGGCGTGAGCTTCCCCGACTCGGCAAGGACGCGTGCTGCTGGACACGTGCTTTTGGTCGCCGGAACCTCCTGCCGCTAGCGCTGGTGTAGCAGTTCTACGAGCCCACGTGCTGGTGCGTGCTCCTGAACGGCGAGGACGTGTGCAAGCACAACCTGCGGGCGCTGCGGCGCATGGTGGCGGTGGTGTTGGAGGAGCCGTTCCTATTCGCGGCGAGCATCCACGAGAACATTGCGATCTTTCAGTTCACGGCGAGTTCCGTCACTTATGTTACTTTATTTTAACAGAACGCTACTTTTAGTTCACGGTCCAATCTTTCAATAGTATTTTACGGAGGAGCAAACTTTCAGTGGTATTTTACGGAGATCGCGATCTTTCGATGCTACACAACCAATTTTTCCAAAAGTTATATATATAGTAATCCCCAACCTAGATAGATCCCAAGTTCATAGCCATTATGTGCGATGTCAAAAACTCTTTTCTCTTTCAAGTATACTCTAATACTCACAGGTTTTGAAATGAGGCAGCTCATGTAATGGCTACACTAGCTGATAGGCTCCTAATTCAAGTATGCTGCTGCCTAAAAGAAACCCACGAAGACTCAAAATCGATGGCGATGCCCCAAGCTAGAATATGTACTAAACAGTGTTTTTAGAGGGGCAAAATGAGAAAGCCTTATATGTAGGGTCGAACCGTCGAAGGCTTACAGTCGCAGCGTGTGACCTCAGTTGCCACTTGCGCCATTTCCACTGATCTGAGTTGAGCTTTTGATGAGATCCAACGTAGACCAACAAGGACACGAACAAATCAGACAAGGCATCAACGCAAGAGGACAAAACAAGCTAAGGCCCGTACGTCGCGACGTACAGCGCAGAGAGGATCGGACATGCCGGCGTCCCTCGCGCGCGCACACACGGGCCTGCAATGCATGCACATGCACTGCTACTGCGTCTGTCGTCGGCGTCGCCCTGGACCACCACCGTACCGCCTCCCGCCCCGGCCCGCGGATCGTGTCGGGCACCGCCCCGGCCACGCGTGCAAAAAATGGACGGACGCGCCGACGCGCTCGTGCATGCCCCGGCCGTGCCCCCGGCCCGGCCGCCGGCGCCGGTGGATCGGAGCTGAGCGACGACACCGCGCGCGCAAGCGCACACACACATGCCTGCTGCCTGCGAATATATCGCGATGCCTGCCTCGATCGGCGGCCATGTCCGGCCGCCCGGCACGGCCTGCATGCATCATTATGCATGCATGTCTTGCTGGTGCCGTGCCTTGCAGCCTGCAGGCTGCTTGTGTACATGATGCATGCATGCAAACGTTGGTACGCGCCACACACAGCTAGCAGCGATGGTATTCCCGTGCTCCTTGCTCGGTTGCGTCACCCCTCGAACCAAACACTTCAATTAATAGTTTCTCCTTTCTTGATTTCAAGTGTTTGATTGACAGGCATAAGCGTACGTCTCTCGTCTACGAGTACCTCACAACGTGTACTAAGTGATAGTGCTACTTCGCCCTCGAGATTTGGACGGGTCAATTATTGCTCGCTAATGATGTGATTAGTTATAAATAGATTGCTAGAGTTGTGCTAAGTCAAACTTTTTAATCTTTGACCGTATTTCTTGAAAAAAAAACTTTAAGTTATGGTATCAAATTAGTATCATTAGATTTACCATAAAATATACTTTCATAAGGTGCTCATTTTATATGACATAGATGTTTTTACTCTTTTCTATAAAATTAATTAAACTTGAAAAAGTTTGACTAACACGGATTCTAGGAATTGATTTAATTGAGGACGGAGGGAATACAATTAATTACCTTTTTAAAGTAATGGTTAATTAAGTACTAGCTAATAGGGCTAGTAGTAGCTAGCTGGTCACACAAATTTCTTTTTTAGAAGTACACTTGTCACACAACCGCAGAAGCTGTATATAGTGTGTATAGCATAGCAAACACAATTCTTTTTTTTTCTTAGAGTATCTCCGAGAGACATTCTAAGTTTCATGTTCCATATCTTCATTTAGCTATCCACTTCATAAAAATTCTTTCTCCATAATCCAACATATTCCAACAGACTAGCTATGTCTCTAAAAGAAAGTAATGTAATTTGGTTCAATGCAAACATGGCACTAGCTGTCAGCCTCACATGTACCAAGATAGCAAGGTATGCCAGCTAGCCAAATTTAGCTCCCGAGGCTCACCGGATAGCATGTCGAATATGATAGCAATTGCATTGGCTAGTATGTTGGAGGCCAGTTTTCTAGAGTTTTAGCTAAAAATAGTAATAACAAGTTAGATAACAATTCGCTTGGACATGCTTTTGGACGAAGGAGATAAAGAACGGAGGGAGTAGCACTTAACAACTGCCGACAAAACATGACGCTCCATGGCTTGCACACAACATCACATAGATCGTTGATAGAACCAAAAAGCTCTCCATTCTGCCAGCCGTCGTCCAACAAACGAGCTACAGTAGAACAGCCTCTATGATCCTTAGGGTAGGACTGGGAGTTAGGCTCTGTTTACCCGTGCAGGTGCACAAGCGGATGGAGCTTTGGAGGCCTGCTTGCCTAAACCCTTTGTGCGTGCAAGGAACTCTGTTGCCAGTGATAGGCCCATACGTTTTACCCATTTGCCCCTTCTGTGTCCACCCATTTACCGTTATGCCCTTGCCGACTGTTGCTGTGACTATGTGACCATTAGTGTCAGGCCCAAGCGTTTTATCCATTAGCCCTGCGCCCACCCATTTACTGTTATGCCCATGCTAACCATTGCCTTGACTATGTGACCATTGTGCTGAGCTCTAAAAGGTGGTCCAACACATCATGTCCGGCCAAGGCCAAGGCCAAGGGCGTGGCTCGGCATGATGACATGCCCATGTGGCCCCCAACTCTCCTCAACTTATTTATAAGACCACATAGTAGCTTCTTATTTAAGTTGAGCACCTTCCTAGTGAGTGTACCATTTGGTACTAATCCCACTCCCACTTAGCACTAACCTTGGGCCTTTGGAATTCTTTGATTATTTGCTAGATTATTTATGGACCTAGCCCATAACAATCCTTAAGGGGTCTATAGGACTCAAAGTGAGGCTATGTTTAGTAGCTCCTACATATGATCCTTATGGAGTCTAGGACTGGTAGTGAGGCTCTCTTTAGCAGCCCCTATATACGATCCTTAGGGAGTCTAGGACTGGATCGAGGCTCCATTTAGCTTGCTGAACACTAGTTCGGACGCAATGACAAGCTTCAAAAGGTAAAGCTCATTGGGTTGCATCATATACAAAAAATAAACATTAGAAAATCAATTTAATAAATTGTTGTTCATTTTCACATCCCAAAAATGGTTTATAGAGTGTGCATTGCCACCGGTAATGGATCATTTTTTCAGAGCTAACCTGAAGGATTTCTGTTGAAACTTGTGGTTTCAGACAGGTAACTGGGGGCCTCCGCCCGTGGACGGCTGTCCTCAGGCGGAGGCTCGGTTAACAGGAACGATCGCTGGGCGTGTAAGGGAAAGGGCACGGAAAGCTAGGGTTTCATTAATGCATTTTCCAACCACCCCCTGCACGGTTACAAGTGTTCTCTATTTATAGGGCTCAACTACTTCATGACAGAATTTATTACAATGCCCCTCAACTGCTACAGTACATTCCTAGAATATTCCGCCGCTAGCCTCTCGTTTGCGGGGCAATCCTGCCATACCGTCTCCGAGTAATGGGCCTCCATGAGCAGTCGGCCCACCATGCTTCGGTCTTGACCCAAAGGCACTGGTCCCCTGTGGCCGCCCCCCCATCTCCAGGGGCGCCACGCTATCTTGGCGGTTCTCCGCCGACCGGTCGGAGACATCTCCCGCGGGTCTCCGCCCGGCCGCGCGGGGGCCATGGCTGTCGACGCTGGCCTCCTCCTTCAGGGGCGCGCCGTCGCCTTGGCGGGTCTCCGCCGGTCCGGTCGGAGGCATCATCCGCAGGCCTCCGCCCGGCCGCACGGGGGCTAGGCTGGCGCGCTCGCGCGGTCCCCGGGCGCCCGCGCTTGAGTACCTGCACACAATTAGGCAAGATCGTTGTTTAATTAGTTTGGAGGTGAGGCGGCCTTCGCCCTCCTGGCCGGAGGTGCCCTCATATCCTGCGGGATGCTGGGTCTCCGCCACCCGTGGCGCCATGTTACAACAGCCCCTTTTGAGACCACGGTCCGCTTTGGCGTGTCGTGAGCTAAAAATGCCCCAAACAAGGACGTCCCATGGGGCGGAGACTACGCTGCGATCACGTCTTGACCGATCCCCGCCGGTTGGGGGCGGTGACTACGCCATGATCATGTCTTCGACCGATCCCGCCGGTCCCCCGACCTGCTTCGGGCGCGCCGTTGGTCTTGTCGAAGTGGCCGTTTAAACCTAGCCGTTCGCGCACCTTGCATTTTATCCGGAGATGACCGTTGGGCTTCAGCGAACTATCCGGAGAAAACCGCTGCCGCCATTTAGGCTGACCGAGATGACCGTTGTTCGGCGGGAGTCGAGCCACCCGCCATGCTGCCTATATAAGGGCGAGGTTGGTGGCGGGTCCCCACACGACTTCGCTTGCTTGCCTTGCGGCGCCGGACACCGCTCTGTGCTTTCTTTGCTCACGCCTGAGTCGCGTCCGCGCGTTCCCTCTTTCCACTTGCGCATTCCTCCGTGGTTGCAGTCACGGTGGCTCTCTCTTCCACCTTCGCCCATACTCGCCGGCCCGCCTTCTTCGGTCCCTATCGCCACCTTCTTGGTGTTAGGGCAGGCGGCTGGGGTGCACATTTCGAGGAGTGCATGCTTGCCTCCACGTCCGCGTTGGATTTTGAGAATCTGCTGGAGGAAGATTTGGGGAGTGTCTCCGCGTCCATCGGAGACCTAATCGCTGCGGATTCTGGAGACATGGCGATAAAGTCATGGAACTTCGGCCCCTCCTCCATTACTGAAGAGGCGGTCGCGGAGATGTCGAAGGAGTCGTATTTTCCACCTTCTAGGGTAAGGATCCCTCCGTCTGGCCAGACTATTCTAGAGCCGGAGGAGGGATATGCGGTGGTGTTTCGAGACTTCTTCGTCTGCGGCATCCGCCTTCCTTACGGTCCCTTCCGCCGCCGGGTGTTGGAGACCTTCAACGTCCAGCTCCACCATCTGACCCCTACGGCCTTCCTTACGCTCAAAGCAAATTTCTGCTTGGCGTGTGCTTCTTATGGCGCCGAGCCGGGATGTGGACACCTTCGCACCTACTACGAAATGCAGTAAACAATCAAGAAGAGGAAAGAGATGCGGGGCGGCAAGGAGGTGGAGGTGGTCTGCACAAGATGGTAGTTGTACCTTCATGGCAAAGAGGAACCAAGGCGTGATCGCCTGGAGATTTCTTTTTGCCAGAAGGGCAAATGGGACCGCGGTTGGCTCGAGGGGTGGTTTTACATGAAGACCTACAGGGTTCGCGGCACCACCGACAATGGCGTGGAGGTCGTGGAGTACCCACTGACTTCAAGGATGGAGGCTATGGCGCCGCATACGCGCGTGGAGCCGCCGGAGGTGGTATCTCCGGCGAGGGAGGCCTGTGACCGGGCCTTCGCGTTGGCGTACCGCTACTCCGGGGGCCGCGATCTGGTGGAGGAGATCATGGCCTCCGACTATTGGCCCCTTAAAGGAGACAATCCACCCTTCAGGCTTGAAATGGTGAAGATTCCCATTTTTGGGCCGGAGGCTGGGATTTCGATCCCCCGCTTCGGCCAGTCTTTGGGC